AAATCTCCCCAGCACCAGCTTTGTGACTGCTCTTGCCCTGGCTCTAGTCTTTGAGGTTGTCAATGAGTATCATCAGTGTGTATGAGAAGTTCTCCCACTGCCATAGTCACTGTGGGTTCAGCAGGTGGTCTAAACATGGCACACGCTTGAGGCCATCACTGAGGGCCAACTACGTCCCTCTTTCCGATCTGCTGCACCTTGAGCTCCCAGAACAGAAACCTGCAGAAGGAAGACTCCAACCCCTTCAAATTTTATCAGAGAGGTGTCTTTCAAAACCACCATGAAAGCAGGAACTCATTCATTTCTATGGGTTGTTTATTTGAACTGCTGAGCTGGGCTGCCCAAGCATAAACTTTTTTTAGTTCCACCTTATCCAACTTTTGTTCCATGTGGTTTTGTCGTGACAGATACCAAACAGTCTTTACTATTTCTTCGTTATGAGCAGGAAAACAAAAGCCTGGTCACTGTTGTTCAAGGTATAAGCCTAAACCTGAGGTACTCAATCCACCTCTGCCACCTCCTGGACTTCAGAAGTGAGGTTTGAAAATTGTTACTTAGCTCTTATCTTTGTCTGTTTTGTCCCAAGGGCCAGGAACTCCTGTGGGTGGCTCTGAAACCAGCCACTTTTCCAGTCCCAGGATAGCTGGTAATGAGTAAGTAATGAGAATGAACAAATGATAAGAAACTAGCCCAAAAGAATTAATTTTTTTTTTTTTTTTGTGGGGGTGGGGAGGTAATAAAGATGTATTGGGCTGTTTTTGCTAAAACAGAGAAGCGTTTCCTTGTTAAGGGATGGAATAAATCTCTTACTTCATTTTCCTGTTTCAGGATGACCAGTGTTTGAGTGTCTTTTCTTTGCCTCTTTCAGATGAAAAGGAGCTCAGGGAAGGGATGAGATTTTGCACTACGCCTTCGTGACTGAAAATACAAAAATACTTCTTCCCTCAACATGTGGGTTTAAAAGGGGAGAACAGGATTTTACGTAAGCTCAAGAATAAGCCTGAGGAGAAACAAAAAGATACAGTGAACACAGCAATCTATCCTGTCTTGTATATATAGATTATTTGGGGGATTTTTTCCCCCCACACACACTCTAAAAAAAAAAACCCTTCCCCCAGTCACTTCCAGAGATGTAATACCTGTAATAATAATAACCCATTTGTAGTACAAGTTACTTGTAAAGGTTTAATTATGCAGAGGGTTTTTTGGGTTGTTTTTGTTGGGGTTATTTTCACATTGCAGTAACTTTTTGGTTTTTAAATTCAGTCACCACCAGATGGAGTAAAACCTCAGCAAACAGGCCCCGGGGCTCTGAGGAAGAGAGACCCTTCTAAAGGAACCACTCCTTAAACAATCAAGAACCTGCCTTCTGCTTCCAACAGCTACAAACTGTCCTGCTGACTGTGGCAAACCTCTGCCTAAAAATTAGGATTGTAGTTCAAACCCCTCATTTAGCCAATTCCCCAGTGCTGTGTCCGGTCCTGGGCTCCCCAGTTCAAGAAGGACAGGGAACTGCTGGAGAGGGTACAGCAGACAGCTATAAAGATGATTAAGGGCCTGGAGCATCTCTTTTATGAGGAAAGGCTGAGGGACTTGGGTCTTTTTAGTCTGGAGAAGAGAAGACATCCAAACATGAGGAGGAACTTCTTTTCTGTGAGGGTGGAAGAGCACTGGAACAGGCTGCTCCTTCTCTGGAGATATTCAAAACCCACCTGGACATGTTCCTCTGCAACCTGCTCTGGGTGGACCTGCTTTGGCAGGGAAGTTGGACTAGATGATCTCCAGAGGTCCCTTCCAACCGTATATCATTCTGTGATTCTTAATTTCTGAGAGTTGGTGGAGAAAGGAGTTCCAGCTACTTCTTCTCTGGAGCTTATTTTTTTATGAATCTCTTCAGACAGATACTCAGTGTGCAACACTTGAAGGAAAGAGCAGCTTTTAAACTTCACAGTTAGTGATGTGTTTTTTTGGTTTTGCTAGTTAGGTCGATTCAAGTTATTCAAGGTGATGATTCTAGTTATTCAAGGTGAGGCTCAACGAGGCCCTGGGCAGCCTGGTCTAGTTGGGGATGTCCCTGCTGACTGCAGGGGGGTCGGACTAGATGACCTTGAAGGTCCCTTCCGGCCCAGATGATTCTATGGTTGGACTAGATGATCTTAAAGGTCCCTTCCAAACTAGACAATTCTATGATTCTACGACTCCTTCTACAGCGTTCCTACAAAAGAGACATCTGTTCCATATGCAGCCTCCTGAAGCCAGTTCCTGGCTGTGCTGCAACCATCCATCAGGAGAACTGGAGCCCAGCAGAACCTGATGTACCTCTCCCTCGTCTGCCTTTGCCCAGATGGGAAACAGAAGGAGCCGATGATGGAATTTATAGAGACCAGACCTCCAGGTGGCTTGCAGACAATGGCAAAGAACACACATTAACATCTTCCAGGATATTTGGGGTAGATTTCTCCAACACAAGGGTCAAACCACCCTTCTGCTAAAGGACTTTGGCAAGAGGGCTCTCAAGGCTACGTGCAGGAGCACAGTTTCAGCTTACACAAAGCTGTAAGGTTACACAAAGGTATTATAGGGTTTAAAGTTTTAGAGAATATTACACTCTTCTTTAAATTCTTTTGCAATGATTATAGCTGCTAGCTCTGTATCTTCTAGATGTACAATAATTTCATTTCTCCCTTCCTAGTCCAGAACTAGGCAACTCTAGGAAGAAAACACCCCAATGAAACACATACACAACTTTTATCTTCATTTGTGCTGTACATTGAAGATACTATTAGTCCTAAAAGCAGATGGGGCTGACTGCTGTCAAGGAGATTTTTCTCCGCCCCATGGCTTGCTCCAGCTCTGCTTTTGCAAGTTCACATTCTCTAGTTCTTCCCTTCAGTAACACCTTGGATCTGATCTCAGCTCCATCCAGGTTTCTCGGGGCAAACCTGCTGCAACATTTGTCTCTATTTGAAGAGAACAGTCTTCAGCACATTCAGAAGTTAAAGCTGCCACTTTGAAGTGGCAGTTAAAGCTGCCTGTTAAAGAAGTTAAAGCTGCCTGTGTTAGGCCTCTCTCAAATCCAGCACCACCCTTCCTTTCCTTCCTCTCAGAAACAGAACAGTGTATTTGTCAGAACACACCACTCACGTTGCCAAAACAACCAACCATGGCTGAAAAAAATCCCTCCTGCTTGTGTATCCCATTGGATTCTCCAGCCTGGATGTGGGCAAACACAGGAGACCCAGTCCAATGGCATCCTACCATGAAGTGCTTGTAAGGGTTAATGGGACCAGCCTCCAACCCAAGCGTTCTTGATATAGTTCAGCTCACGTGATTAAAGGAGTTTCATAGAATCATAGAATGGTTTGGGTTGGAAGGGACCTCAAAGATCATCAAGTTCCAACCCCCCTGCCATGGGCAGGGACACCTCCCACCAGACCAGGTTGCTCAAAGCCCCATCCAGCCTGGCCTTGGACACCTCCAGGGATGGGGCAGCCACAACTTCTCTGTTTCCTTGTCGGCTGTAGGAAGTCTAAGGACTCGGGGTTCTACCTTTTCCTTGTTGGCCGTAGGAAGTCTAAGGACTCGGGGTTCTACCTGGTTCTGCCCAACTCTGGTTTTACACTTGGCTTCCTGACAATGATGTCCCCACAACCAGCCAGTCACAGGCACCCCTTCCAATAATGAGCCTCCTGCCCACTTGGCTTGTGCAAGAAAAAGAAGGTCCAGAATCCAGCTCAATTTAACACTGGTTTTGGACAGACTTGTTCTACAATGGTACTACTGCACCTCCCCAGCCGTAAGGAAAAGGATTTAAAAAGGAAAAAAAAAAGGGGGGGGAGGGGGATGATGACACAAAATCATATGTTATAGAGTAAGACTTGGAAACTACTTGCCAGCTCTGGATCTCATTTTTTTTGCAGGCTCCTAAGGACACAAATCAAAACTGGCTTAGTCATATTACTTCAAACTGAACAGGTAGTTTATCTGAACAGAGCATTTACAAGCCTCCCAAACTGCAACAAACAGGAAAAAGCAATATCCTGAAAGATAAAAGTCAGATACGCACTTAAGAAGTCAGCAGCAAAGCAGACTACTTAACTTATCTACTGATCAACAAAGCACTGCTGTGTTGCCAATGACAGTGAACTTGTATTTATATAATATTCTAATACATTCTTTTCAAGTAACATGTTATGGTGAAGGATAAGAGCCCAGGAGGAAAAAAAAAAAAAAAAAGAAGTATGTAAATGGTTCAGGTTCAGTAAATGTTATTAACCTTCTTCCTCCTCGAGGCACACAGAGCTGTTGTGCAATGTCTTGGACCAATTCCTGAACACAAACACAAACATTCCAACTATATGCTGACAAAACAGACACGAGTGTTTTGAACGTGGATTATCACTGTTAATGATGTCTGCTGTCTGACCCATCTCTCCCCTTTCATTTGTATTAATTGTGCCTATTTTAAATCTATATGAAATAGAATTGATTTTAGAATTCATTACTCTCAGGGCAAGTAAAATATTGATGAGGCTATTTGGGCATACTGATAACAGAGGCAATTAAAATATATTTCCAGTAAGTAACTTTGATTTAAGACAATTGCAGGGACCCAGTTCCCCCCTAAAAAAAGTCAAAGGTTTTTTTCCTCTGATCAGTAACAGAAATGGTGAAAAGCACATCCCAATTTCAGGTTTTTAAAACTAAATCAATTTCAATCCACAACTAACTTAAGGAACGAGTTTGAAATCTTTTTAGCTGTGATGTAACATTTATTTATACTATAGTCCTACATGTAGTATTTCCTTTCTGTGCTCCCTGGATAATATTCAATAGTTTCATTAGGTTGTCAGTCAAAAAGGCAAAAAACCAGCTGCCACCATTCCCATACCAAACTTCTACGAGTTACCATATATCGATGTGCTAGCTGTATGCAAAGTAACTTCATAGGCCGTAAGTGAAAACTCACTGTGGGAAATAATTAAAGTGGACAATTCAGAAAACTTTACAAAAATACTTCTTTTTATTAAAAGCAGCAATTTCAAGCAGAACAATACACAGAATGTAAACATCACTAAGTTCAGCTCCAGCCCGCCGAACCTTCGAGAGAGTCTACACTAAATGCATCTACCGTACTAGCGAGTTAACAGACTATATTATAATTTGAAAATATATTTTTCTACTTTGAATTCAGAAAAAGTAAGTTATCGTAGTCTGTCCCAGCGCCAGATACTGGCATCGTCACACACAGCTATAAGGATACTGCTATCCCTGCTGAAACTGGTTTGTCGGATGGCAGCAACGCATTTAGGGTGGGTAAGAGTCGTACACCTAGAAATAAAAGAAAATTATTCAGCTGCAATGTTAAATCTGCACTTGCTACTACATTACAGAGCGCTGTTTCACCAACCTCTTACTTCTGTGACCTGGGAGGATTGAAGGGCAACAGCATTATAACCTTTACGGTGTATTTTCTATTCCAAATGTGGACTTGGGAAAGCAGGAATTTCCTGGTCACTGCCGCCCCTCATCCACCCAATTCCCATTGAAGCACTGACTGAAACCTTATTGAATCACAGAATTTAGGACTATAATGAATGTTCTTTCACAGTGGTTAGGAATAAAATATCATAATTGGCTGATTAAAGACCAGAGCATTTTTAGGAAGGTACTGACTGAAACCTTATTGAATCACAGAATTTAGGACTATAATGAATGTTCTTTCACAGTGGTTAGGAATAAAATATCATAATTGGCTGATTAAAGACCAGAGCATTTTTAGGAAGGTCATACGTCATGTATATACATATGCACACACAGACATTTATATAGAATATATCTATAAAATATATAAATCAGGAAGGTCATATGTTATGTATATATACACGCACACACACATGTATATAGAATATATCTATAAAATATATAAATGTAAGCATATATAATTTATTATATAATGTATATACACATATAATGCATATATTAGTAATATACACAGTGTATATACATTTTATACATATAAAGGGTTTGGGGTGGGTTTTTTTGTATGTTTATATTAACATGAGGAACTGGAAAGCCATACTATTTCCTCCACATGATTATAATGAATGTTCTTTCACTGTGGTTAGGAATAAAATCTCATAATTGGCTGATTAAAGACCAGAGCATTTTCAGGAAGGTCATATGTTATGTAGATATACACGCACACACACATGTATATAGAATATATCTATAAAATATATAAATGTAAGCATATATAATTTATTATATAATGTATATACACATATAATGCATATATTAGTAATATACACAGTGTATATACATTTTATACATATAATGGGTTTGGAGTGGGTTTTTTTGTATGTTTATATTAACATGAGGAACTGGAAAGCCATACTATTTCCTCCACATGATGCTCACAGCCAACCTTTACATTTTCATTACCCTAGTCTTTTCACCTATTTCTCCTTTGTGATGGCTACACTGACCCAGCACATCTTAATTCCACCTAATTAGTTTGTAAATTCTTCATGGAACAAATTATCTTTTACTATATCTACCTATGGTACCCAGCACAACCTCATTGGGGCCTCTTGGCACTACTGTAATAATATAAGTGATAAATCAGTAAAAAATAATAAATGTTTACCTTCAGGGGCTCACAATGTTTACTTATCTAGTAGTTAAAATGGAAAAAATGACTAATACTATTAAAGAATTTCTACAGTTATCAGTAAAAGAAAAGGGAATGCACCCCAACTCCCTGTCTTAAATAAAATTAAAGTAAGTACTCACTTGGCTTTATGAGGATCCTCTATTTCTAAATCCCAAACATAAAGTTTGCCAACCTGATTGCCCAGAGCAAGCATCTTCAAAAGAAAGCAGAGAATACCAAAGTTTTAAAATACTGTCTCAAAGAACAGAAGTCAGAATCTTCAAATCAAAGTCAAAGCTCACACACACCTTTTGCCAGAAATCCATTGAGAACCTCATGTACCATATATCACACTGGCTGTAATCAAATCTCCCCAGTATGGTCACATTCGACTCACTGGGCTTGATTTTATCTATATCATCTTCCATTTTGCCAGGTTTCCAGCACACAATAGCATTTTCACAAGACTAAGATGAAGCAATAAAGAAAAAAAAATAAATCAGTTATATTTCTAATTTATACTGCACATTCAGTTTAACTATAATTATAGCCAAACATTTCATCTCACGTACTTTTAGCATAAGTACAGCTGTAGTAATAATTTTACTTTTTAAGTACAAGTTGCTTATCTACACATCGTAACAGCTGACAAAATTCACAATATACTCCATAAAATCATTTGACACAGCATAGTAAGTTAACCTAAAGACCCAAATTCTACTAAAACTTCTACTGTTTAAGATCCTCAAAACCAACAAATGTGAGTATTACAGCTGAAAAAGCTGCCACTTTACCTTGGAAAGGATTAGATCTCCCAACCATCGTACGCAGTCAACATAGTTTCTATGTATGTCTCTCGTAGAAAAGTCAGGAAAGTGAATTTTCTGGGAAATAAAAGGCCTACAGAGAAAATTGCCAAGTGAGGTCCAGAGAAACACAGAAGCACACGTCTGATGTTTAATGGCCAGTTTTAAGATATCTCTATGTTAAAAGGACAACCCTGTCTTTGTTGTTGTTTTAACAGTTTTAATACAAAGTTGATTTTGTATGTAGTATGATTGTTGTTTTCTTTTACACATTGGGAACAGTCCCTATTTTCATCCTCATTCCCTTCTTCAACATCTAAATTTTTAAATAGAAAAGCACACTAAAAAAAAACCATTTTTTTTTTAAAAGCACACTAAAAAAAGCATCATTTAGTATTTGGTAACATTACCAAAAAAAGCCAGAGCATTTTCACAGCTAGTCTCATTGCTGAACATGTTCAGTGTTTTAGACTCTTCAATTCTCTCAATGGTTTAACTGGAAGTTAAGATTAAAAAGGTGAATTGATGAACTTCATAAAGGAGGATTTATCTATCAACATACCTAATCGCTATGTTTACATGACAATTTTCTGCTAAGATCAGATCAGAGAATCATGAAAATTAAGGTTATTACTACATAAACAGTTTTGTGCTCACCCCAAATTCAGATAACAGGCACAATAATTGTAATAATTACTCAATATAAAACCATTTGCTATATGTCATTGATTTGATTCCTTCCTACAAATTTTGAGGTGAGAGAAAGAAAAGCCACTAACATCCTGAAACACAGTGAAATTCAAGCTTTAATTAAGAATGATAGAGATGATTCTTCCAGACATTTTCTATTCAAGCAGATAAGAAAGAATCAAGATATTTAAAACCAAAGTGTCAGGACTTTGAATCTGAATTCCATAAAATTCTACTGAAGCAAAAATCAGTAAGACACATCCTCCAGAGAGATTACGTATCCTGCAAAATCCCCAGGTCACTCACTATCCCAAAGAACTCCCAAACTGGGTAGGAATTAACTTGGGCTATATGAGAATATTCATATTGTGCAAAGACAGCCAAGAAAAACCACGTACCTGTTGGTTTTATTTGGGTTGTATTCATAGGACTCTTTGATGGCATTTATCATTCTCTTGGAATTAATTCTCCAGAGTTTTAGAGAGTGATCCATCCCACAGGACATGATTTTTTCACCAAGAAGATCATAATCCTGTGGATACAAAATAATTTTGAGGACCCCCAGCCCAAGCTGCATGGTATCAACTCAGATTTCATTCCATCGTTTCCAACAAAACAGCATTTTCAGCTTAGAGAATGCATTATAACTGCCTATTTCAAATAGAAAACTAATAATAACTTAATCCCGCTCACTGCAAAGCAGTACAGTATCTTAATAATTATATTTACTCTTTCTCAAGAAAGAGAAGCACATTAAACAGCACTGACAGGCAATGAATCTATTGCTAGTGCTCTCCCCTCAGTATATTCCCTAGGTTTCATTTTATGGAGCAACTTTGGCAGAATTCCAGGTCTACCACAGGGGTGATGACTATTTACAAACTGCAAAAGAATAATACAGTGTCAGGTTTCATACAGATGCACCCCTCACCTTTCAGGGCACATAATAAGAATGGAAAAAAAAAAAAAAAAGTTCTTAAAAGCAGCATCTTAAAAGTCAACTACTCTATTTGGTATTTGCTGGGTACCAGTGTCTGTTCACAGCCACTGAAAAGCAGCATAACTCATCTGAAATAACTTCTTTTCTTCCCTACCATGTCTCTCAAGCTTTATTTGCTCGTGCTGCTTTGGCATGTTAAGACCTCCAGAACTTCAAAAGTGGGACCATCATGAAAACTTTTTACTCTTTCTAGCCCCACTGATTTTTTTTTATTATTTTATTATTTATTTCTAGGCTGCGCTGTGAGAAAACTAGCTACAGAAACACACAGAGATTGAACACCTGTCCTGTACATTAAGAGGTGGCCAAATCAATCAAACCACCTTGGATTTAAACTTGTCTATCCCCTTAAAATGTTTTTTATGCACTTCAGGGTTTTTTTTTTAAATAGGTATAATATCAAAAACAGTGCACAAGAGGATAAAAAGTTGCATGTTGTAAGCTTACTACCCTCTGTAAATCTAAATCACTGCCCCAGAGTCTTCCACTTACTGCACTTAACACCTCATCCCTGTGCCCTTCTACTCCTCCAAATATTGCAACCAGCGTGTCTGTCTGGATGTTCCACAGTCTCAATGCATGATCTATAAAGAACAAATAAAATTACATGCTGCTTTTTATACGTACATACGAATAATATATTTCAGCTTAACCACTTTCAATAACGGGCGTTCACGTAAACATCAAAAAGGCACTTAATAATTCTTCACTTGTTAGAAACAACAAAAGGGCATTAATTAAAGTTGCCATTACAACTAAATTGCTGTCAGAGTAATCTGGAATTCAGAAAGTGCACCCACCCCCCCAGGGCCAGCTTCTAGCAAAACTATACTTGGATGTTTAGATCATCCAAAAAAGCAAAGAAGAGTCTGATCTTGGACAAGTATGGCTTTTATTCAGTCTTATCTCAAAAGTAATTGTATAGATCAAAAAATGCTAGAATTCTTTTCAGCCATTCTTACATCAGCATTCAGAGAAGTTATGATTTTCCATTTTTTTAATCTTTTAATATTATATTAATATTATTCTTTGTGAACCACACACTGGAGGGATGGAGAAACTGCTTCTATAAACTATGTATTCCGAAGTCAATTGGTCTAATCCACTTGTTTAAAGAGTGGATTTTAGACAGAAATTTAGATAGAAATTTTAACAATGTCTAATGAAGAACCTCTACTTTATTTCCCATTTGGAAATGGGAACCTCTAGTGTATTTCCCTTTTGGATTCCACAAGTACACTGAATTACAGCAACGCCAACTGGAAAACCACATGGTCCCAAGTATTTCCTTCTTTTTCTACTCATCTCTCAGACAAGCAGTTCTGAGATTCTAATATTCTACTGGAGAATAATATTCTATTGGAGACAGTACCCGGTCCAGAGATTGTACATTAAAACTTGTAGCACTACTGCTGATGTCAAAATGTTATTAAAATGAGAACCTAAAAAATATAGAGAGCTCAAGAAATTCAACAACCCACAGCACAAACTTGACAGTTGCAAGAACCAGAGAGGTTCCCAACTCTTATCCTCATGTAGTTTCATCAGAAATATCAAATATGATAAAGTCAAAAGTCCCCTTATTTGAACGTTTCCAGGTCTAGCACTCCTGAAGGCCTGCTCTTGTGGCAGATCAAGTATCCCCTGACTTAACAAGTCAAGATTAGGAAGTTATGACTGTTTAGACGTTGTGGACAAGCCCGTAACAGACTATACCAAAAACTCACTTCTCCATTCACTAATATGCTTTTTACACAAAGTCCAATTGAAGTCAGGGCTGCTCCTAGGCAACAGAAGCAAAGATTTCCCCATGAAAGTGGTGGTGGACACTGGTTGTGACATTAAGCCATCCCCACTAGATGGAGACGTGATCCAACAACCGGAACAAATTTAACTGTTGAAAAGGAGCGAGGGACCCCAATGCTCATGGTCCTTCTTTCCTAAAAGCAGCACCACTCGGCGTCCCTCTGCACCACAGAGCAGTTGTGTTTATTGTAGGCCATGGATTTAATACGTACAAGATGTATAGCTATAAAAGAGCACGATTTGCTCTAGACTTCCAAGGTAAACTTGTTCAGTGCCATTCATAAAAAAAATTCATGGAGGTTTTGGCCATTTTCAAGACCAAAGTCCAAACTATCCTGATTTTACATAGACACATATATATATAAAAAAATAAGTTCTTTTTCCTCACCTTTGCTTACGGATAAAAGAAGATTTGGATCTCTTGGATGGAATTTCAGTTCATTGATTGCATTTCCATGGCCCACATAGTGCTGGGATAGAATTCAGAGACCAAGTTATCATTTCCCCTCACTTTTACATGTATTTAGAAGACATAAGTTTCACACCTTACTGAAACACAGGCTGTATCCCAAAATTTGGAGCACTCACCTTTATGCACTGCATTGTAATAGGATTAATTATCCTAATAATACCCCTGGACCCTGCCACAGCCAGAAGAGGATGGCTCGTATTGCTATCATATGTCCACGCACAGGTATAGAAATTTTCATCTGCCTGTAACATCTCACATTAAGGAACACAAAATAAATAATAATAATAAAAAAAAAAAAAACAGATTTTCTTAAAGAAAACTTGTTGCTGTTTTATGCCCAGGAGTCTCTGCTGGACCCAATAAGAAAAAAAGATACATATTTAATTATCCATCTGCAAATACAATCAACATCACCTTTTCCAGAGATGCCAGTTTCCTCACTTCTGTTCCATAGCATACAAGGAACACCTGCTCTCTCTTGGCATCACTTTTCAAACTCTTGCTCCAAAACATACAAAAATTGGGAATAAAATAAAAATCAACACAAGTTATTACCACTTCAGAGCACGAAACGTAATTCTTAAGTTTTAAACCCAGTTCTAATTCACAGGGAAACAAGATCATTGTAAAGCAGTGAAACATTACACAAATATTAGTGTTGGGAAGATTAAACTGATGAAGAATTCATTTTCAAATATTTTAATACAGCATGGTCCATGAGGCTGCATTTTTAGTATTTTTTCAATAGGAGAGAATCTAGGATGTGGAAAGAGGCAAGACTTGGACCTAACCTAAGGAATGCACCACATAAGCAAAATATTAAATCACAGACAAAACCTTGATGTGCTTTTTCCTACAAAGCCTCTTCATTTTTGATAAAAAGGAAGCAAACAAGTGGCTTTTTAACTTGAAAGGATACATCAGCATCCACATAGGACTGCAACAGACGGATTTCTCCTTGGGAATGACATTCATATAAAGTAACCTGGAGGGAAAAAAAAAGCAGGAGAGATTGTTGCTTCTTTGTGATATTTTAAAAGGAAATTACATGCACCTGTGTATTTGCTTCCTGGCAGGAGAGGTACTGTGCCTTTATGCTTTAGATTTCATCCATCATCTGTTTGTTTCCAACAGGTGGAAATGGTTTAATAAAAGAATGTTCACAGCAGCCTCAGCAAAGCACCATTCTAGGACTGGTCAGCAGTCCCTCCCAGATACTTAAATCTAGTACTTGAATTGTCATAGTAAGATTAAGCTCTATTTGGAATTAGTTACCGCAGCCATCTCTAGTGAGTTGGTCTTTTAATGAGCCGTTGACACCTTGTTTAATCTTAGTTTAGCACTTTTGGTAACCGCCAAGTGGAACAAACCTGGAAATGAAAGGCGTCTTGTTTATTCACAAGACTTGCACAGAATGCACTTCAGGAGTTATTTTCAAGACTGAAATGACATAGATCCTTGCCTATAAATTCACTCCATACGAGCCATTAATTTAGCTTCTGAGCTGCCTGGCATCATTGCAGACATTTCCCATCCCATTTTAGAGCATATGACCTTTTGGAAACAATAACTAAGTGTAATTTTAGTGAGAAGATACATTTATGCACTTCTTTTCCTTATCCCATATTTATACTACTGAAGGATTTTTTTTTTCTTTATGCTAATTCCCAAATAGCTAACACTTGATTTCATAAAACAATCCAGAGGATGCAATTCTCCCAGATAACAGATGCTACACACCTCAGAAATAAAGCTTTCTATATGAAGTATCCTGTGTCTGTACAAAACACAGGTAAAGGGATTGGCTGAAAAAAAAGAACATGAGCAGAACCACACAGAAGGGCTTATGGTTAAAAACAGATTACTCACTCTGTTACTGCCTACAGTGGCAAAAACGAGAGGATCACCTTCTTTACTGTGCCAGTTAAACTGGACTCCAAACAAAGGCTGACCGTGGTCCTCCTGTAGATGTAAATTAAGATTAGAGACCAAAAAAATAAAACCCACAGGCATATTATTTCTGTGAAATTCAGCTGTGGTGGTAAACAGTTTAATTGATACGTTTTCCTCGTCAAACTACTGGGTTCACATCCAGTATAATTTCAGACAGTGAAAGGTTAAAAAAAAAAAACCTCAACAGTTTTGTAACATCACATTTTAACTTGGCTGTCTTAAGAGAGGTTAAAGGAATATTCTGACACCCCGCTCTTTCTTTCCCCACCAAGCTTTTAAAAAATGAAGGGGAAGAACTGCTGTCTCAGTTAGGGCCAGAAGCTGGCAGATCTCCTTAGTTACATTTGCAGCTCTGCTACTTTGTTTTGCAATTTTCAACAAGGCATCTAAGGCCACATCTATATGCATTTTTTACTGCTATTATTACTTCCACACAAAGATTTACAACTTCACAGAGAAGAATTCTACTGGTATCCCGGTGGAGAGGGGCCACATTCAACTATTACAGCATAGTTAGGTCTTGCAATTCTATCACAGACACGACGAACTCTCCCCAGCATGTCACAAAGTTCATGTCTACAAAGTGTTTTCAGGTCGCCTTCACAAAGAGGCACCACAGAAATGCCAAGTATTATTTTGATACAGCTTACATCAGTTGAATAGAGGAAAAAAAAAAAATAAAAGAAGCAGATATGTTTATGAATTGTGATGAATATGGTGGTGCTTGTTAATAATTGATAACAGTATTTTGGCCTGTCCTGACAGGATGTTTTCAGTAAGAATAATGTTCATTAAAGTGCCTCCCCACAGGGGACTGTCTGGGACAGCGTGGGCAGGAAGGAAGTGTCTCATGATGGCTGTTAAGCAGCCTTCAAATGGCAGAGCTTCAGAGGCAGCAGGAGAAATATTAGCCCTGGCAGCTCTGCCCTATCCACAAACCAAAGAATAAATTTGAGGAGGGGGTGTGGGTGGAGAGTCCAACCCTACGCAGAAAAAGAAAAGGAAGTCTGGACAAATTTAAAATAGCATTATTTACTGCAAAATGCAGTTATCTGTTATTAACTGATACTGCTAGAAGAGCTAGAAAGAGACAGGAGAGAATCTTTCAGAGATGAAGGCCCTCCTGCAATTCTCTAAGAGTCGATAACAACTTTGGAAGCTGAATAGAGATTAAAAAGGATTGTTCAAAGCTTAAGTATTACGCATCGTAACATGAAAGTACAGCCTAGTGGCTTTATGTGATGAGGGATACGGGATACCAGCGAAGGGAAAAGTAGCAAGGTTGTCAGTGATGCCAGGACAGAAGAAAAAAAAGCAGGTATTCAGCATCTGTAAAGCATTATGTTTAGAGATAAAGAATGAGGAAAAAATACACGCCACAAAATTGCATACACAAGGCCATGATTTTTAGTGTCCAAAAAACTTATGAATTTTACTTTCTAGGCTTATTTTTTGAGTGTATTTAAGTCTTCCTGGAAGACAATGGCTGAGAGGTCAACTACAGAATACTTCAAAAAAAATTTCCACTAATAATTAGTTGGGTTTGAATTTCTGTGGGACAGAGCTCATGCTGGTGGATACTGAGGGCTTTTGACATACCACATGAAGACAACACAAGTAAAATGCACAGATTCTTACTGCTTTATTACAGAGACATATTAGCAGGTTTTGTGCTTGTTTTTCTGGAATAACATTGTTCTTTGCCATATGCACCGTTTCTGAAAAATTTAGCAAAATGGGAAAAGTTAAGAGGAAGATGTTTTTCTCCCTCAAGATGGGAAAAATTCCAGCATAAGCTGTGATAAATTTGTGATTTTCTAGGTAAGACCAGACTAGGGTAACATGTTATAAGTAGAGAGAGACAATGGAGAGTTACAGTGTTTCTATATTTATATATTTGAGCACATACCTAAAATATTTAGTAAGCTTTTTCAAAGACGACTTATTTCCCTGGAAAAATTACTCTGCAAGACAAATGTCTTTAGACTTCTTACATCATCTGCATGACATTCCTCACATGGACTGCTACAACCTCAAAGAGCCTGGCCATAGAAATCGAAGTCTTTCTGGTGTTTAATGGGCGAAGGAGTGAGGCAGAGGCTCTTCAGGAAGTCACTAAGGTATCTGAGGAAGTTGTGTTCACCTCATTCAAGCTACCATCCTCCTCACTGGTCAGAGAGAGCTCATAGCTATTTTGATAATACCTGTCCACTCTCATTTTTGTCCCAAGTGCTAAACAATGAAGGAAAGTTTTAAAAATATTACTCTTTCAGGTGCTGCAAATTATGGTTGTCCTAAGATGCCAAGGACGTCACTCAAATCTGACCACTGGTTTGTACAGACAGAAGAGTTTGACCCAGAAGTCAGGGCTGCTCCTAGGCAACAGAAGCAAAGATTTCCCCATGAAAGTGGTGGTGGACACTGGTTGTGACATTAAGCCATCCCCACTAGATGGAGACGTGATCCAACAACCGGAACAAATTTAACTGTTGAAAAGGAGCGAGGGACCCCAATGCTCATGGTCCTTCTTTCCTAAAAGCAGCACCACTCGGCGTCCCTCTGCACCACAGAGCAGTTGTGTTTATTGTAGGCCATGGATTTAATACGTACAAGATGTATAGCTATAAAAGAGCACGATTTGCTCTAGACTTCCAAGGTAAACTTGTTCAGTGCCATTCATAAAAAAAATTCATGGAGGTTTTGGCCATTTTCAAGACCAAAGTCCAAACTATCCTGATTTTACATAGACACATATATATATAAAAAAATAAGTTCTTTTTCCTCACCTTTGCTTACGGATAAAAGAAGATTTGGATCTCTTGGATGGAATTTCAGTTCATTGATTGCATTTCCATGGCCCACATAGTGCTGGGATAGAATTCAGAGACCAAGTTATCATTTCCCCTCACTTTTACATGTATTTAGAAGACATAAGTTTCACACCTTACTGAAACACAGGCTGTATCCCAAAATTTGGAGCACTCACCTTTATGCACTGCATTGTAATAGGATTAATTATCCTAATAATACCCCTGGACCCTGCCACAGCCAGAAGAGGATGGCTCGTATTGCTATCATATGTCCACGCACAGGTATAGAAATTTTCATCTGCCTGTAACATCTCACATTAAGGAACACAAAATAAATAATAATAATAAAAAAAAAAAAAACAGATTTTCTTAAAGAAAACTTGTTGCTGTTTTATGCCCAGGAGTCTCTGCTGGACCCAATAAGAAAAAAAGATACATATTTAATTATCCATCTGCAAATACAATCAACATCACCTTTTCCAGAGATGCCAGTTTCCTCACTTCTGTTCCATAGCATACAAGGAACACCTGCTCTCTCTTGGCATCACTTTTCAAACTCTTGCTCCAAAACATACAAAAATTGGGAATAAAATAAAAATCAACACAAGTTATTACCACTTCAGAGCACGAAACGTAATTCTTAAGTTTTAAACCCAGTTCTAATTCACAGGGAAACAAGATCATTGTAAAGCAGTGAAACATTACACAAATATTAGTGTTGGGAAGATTAAACTGATGAAGAATTCATTTTCAAATATTTTAATACAGCATGGCCCATGAGGCTGCATTTTTAGTATTTTTTCAATAGGAGAGAATCTAGGATGTGGAAAGAGGCAAGACTTGGACCTAACCTAAGGAATGCACCACATAAGCAAAATATTAAATCACAGACAAAACCTTGATGTGCTTTTTCCTACAAAGCCTCTTCATTTTTGATAAAAAGGAAGCAAACAAGTGGCTTTTTAACTTGAAAGGATACATCAGCATCCACATAGGACTGCAACAGACGGATTTCTCCTTGGGAATGACATTCATATAAAGTAACCTGGAGGGAAAAAAAAAGCAGGAGAGATTGTTGCTTCTTTGTGATATTTTAAAAGGAAATTACATGCACCTGTGTATTTGCTTCCTGGCAGGAGAGGTACTGTGCCTTTATGCTTTAGATTTCATCCATCATCTGTTTGTTTCCAACAGGTGGAAATGGTTTAATAAAAGAATGTTCACAGCAGCCTCAGCAAAGCACCATTCTAGGACTGGTCAGCAGTCCCTCCCAGATACTTAAATCTAGTACTTGAATTGTCATAGTAAGATTAAGCTCTATTTGGAATTAGTTACCGCAGCCATCTCTAGTGAGTTGGTCTTTTAATGAGCCGTTGACACCTTGTTTAATCTTAGTTTAGCACTTTTGGTAACCGCCAAGTGGAACAAACCTGGAAATGAAAGGCGTCTTGTTTATTCACAAGACTTGCACAGAATGCACTTCAGGAGTTATTTTCAAGACTGAAATGACATAGATCCTTGCCTATAAATTCACTCCATACGAGCCATTAATTTAGCTTCTGAGCTGCCTGGCATCATTGCAGACATTTCCCATCCCATTTTAGAGCATATGACCTTTTGGAAACAATAACTAAGTGTAATTTTAGTGAGAAGATACATTTATGCACTTCTTTTCCTTATCCCATATTTATACTACTGAAGGATTTTTTTTTTCTTTATGCTAATTCCCAAATAGCTAACACTTGATTTCATAAAACAATCCAGAGGATGCAATTCTCCCAGATAACAGATGCTACACACCTCAGAAATAAAGCTTTCTATATGAAGTATCCTGTGTCTGTACAAAACACAGGTAAAGGGATTGGCTGAAAAAAAAGAACACGAGCAGAACCACACGGAAGGGCTTATGGTTAAAAACAGATTACTCACTCTGTTACTGCCTACAGTGGCAAAAACGAGAGGATCACCTTCTTTACTGTGCCAGTTAAACTGGACTCCAAACAAAGGCTGACCGTGGTCCTCCTGTAGATGTAAATTAAGATTAGAGACCAAAAAAATAAAACCCACAGGCATATTATTTCTGTGAAATTCAGCTGTGGTGGTAAACAGTTTAATTGATACGTTTTCCTCGTCAAACTACTGGGTTCACATCCAGTATAATTTCAGACAGTGAAAGGTTAAAAAAAAAAAACCTCAACAGTTTTGTAACATCACATTTTAACTTGGCTGTCTTAAGAGAGGTTAAAGGAATATTCTGACACCCCGCTCTTTCTTTCCCCACCAAGCTTTTAAAAAATGAAGGGGAAGAACTGCTGTCTCAGTTAGGGCCAGAAGCTGGCAGATCTCCTTAGTTACATTTGCAGCTCTGCTACTTTGTTTTGCAATTTTCAACAAGGCATCTAAGGCCACATCTATATGCATTTTTTACTGCTATTATTACTTCCACACAAAGATTTACAACTTCACAGAGAAGAATTCTACTGGTATCCCGGTGGAGAGGGGCCACATTCAACTATTACAGCATAGTTAGGTCTTGCAATTCTATCACAGACACGACGAACTCTCCCCAGCATGTCACAAAGTTCATGTCTACAAAGTGTTTTCAGGTCGCCTTCACAAAGAGGCACCACAGAAATGCCAAGTATTATTTTGATACAGCTTACATCAGTTGAATAGAGGAAAAAAAAAAAATAAAAGAAGCAGATATGTTTATGAATTGTGATGAATATGGTGGTGCTTGTTAATAATTGATAACAGTATTTTGGCCTGTCCTGACAGGATGTTTTCAGTAAGAATAATGTTCATTAAAGTGCCTCCCCACAGGGGACTGTCTGGGACAGCGTGGGCAGGAAGGAAGTGTCTCATGATGGCTGTTAAGCAGCCTTCAAATGGCAGAGCTTCAGAGGCAGCAGGAGAAATATTAGCCCTGGCAGCTCTGCCCTATCCACAAACCAAAGAATAAATTTGAGGAGGGGGTGTGGGTGGAGAGTCCAACCCTACGCAGAAAAAGAAAAGGAAGTCTGGACAAATTTAAAATAGCATTATTTACTGCAAAATGCAGTTATCTGTTATTAACTGATACTGCTAGAAGAGCTAGAAAGAGACAGGAGAGAATCTTTCAGAGATGAAGGCCCTCCTGCAATTCTCTAAGAGTCGATAACAACTTTGGAAGCTGAATAGAGATTAAAAAGGATTGTTCAAAGCTTAAGTATTACGCATCGTAACATGAAAGTACAGCCTAGTGGCTTTATGTGATGAGGGATACGGGATACCAGCGAAGGGAAAAGTAGCAAGGTTGTCAGTGATGCCAGGACAGAAGAAAAAAAAGCAGGTATTCAGCATCTGTAAAGCATTATGTTTAGAGATAAAGAATGAGGAAAAAATACACGCCACAAAATTGCATACACAAGGCCATGATTTTTAGTGTCCAAAAAACTTATGAATTTTACTTTCTAGGCTTATTTTTTGAGTGTATTTAAGTCTTCCTGGAAGACAATGGCTGAGAGGTCAACTACAGAATACTTCAAAAAAAATTTCCACTAATAATTAGTTGGGTTTGAATTTCTGTGGGACAGAGCTCATGCTGGTGGATACTGAGGGCTTTTGACATACCACATGAAGACAACACAAGTAAAA